TACACGCAGTACTTAATCACTGTACTACAGGGCCGACCCAGGTGAATTTCTCTCTTTCTCGCAATTTTAAATTTTCAATAATATTAGTTGTTGAATCAATAAAAGTAACAAAGGAGAAACCTAGGATCTAAAGTGGTGCTTCTCTAAGTGCGTTCTGAACACCAAGGCCTCAAAAATGCATATTCACTCATCATGACCACTTACTCTGAATTCCTAGTGGTATGCCAAAATCCACATTTAATAAGAATGTCTTATTTGGACATTTAAAATTAAGGTCGACTAAAAGAATATCTGCCGAGGAAAAATGATCAACTGAAAATTTGGAGATAAGGGTAACCTAGGGACCTCCTCATTGTTGGTTGATGCCCTTGGTCCACCTGGCTAAACACCTTACCTCCTCCTATCCCGCTGCTATAAATTCTTCCCTCCCAACCCCACGCCCATGGTCGAGAGCAAGGCCATCACAATGAGAGGTCTTGAGTTGCCATGCGCCTGGGTAGACCTTCCAACCTGATGACTGGTAAACGCCTACTGGGAGGCAGGTATACAGAAGGATGGAATCACTTCCTAGCTTTCAGAGAGGCGGCTTCAATTCCCATGAAGAAATAAGAAATACACACAGAACAAACAAAGCAACGGTACAAAGCAGTATGTGATTAGACGCCAAATGAGTAACAAACACAAGATTCTATGGTTTGAAGGAGGGCAAGATGACTTTGGGCCGGAATGGTAAGGAAGACTTCATAGAGAAGGTGGTGCCTAGTCTAGAGTTAAATGATAGCATAACATGGAGTTGGGTTTTTTCCCCCTCTTCTTATTGGGTTTATTATTGTTTCATGTGTTTTCTTTTCTTTTTTTTTTTTTTTTTTGAGAGGTTTTTTGCTACAGGGCGCGTGTGCTTGCCAGACAGAGAGAGAGAGACAGAGAGACAGAAAGCGAGAAATCACCCCCCAGGGGGGATGGCCACGCCGCAATCCCTTCTCCTCCATTCTCCTCTCAGGATCTTGGGCACGCACGCACACGCACCCAGCGCGAGTTTCAAGCCATCAGGTCCAGGACTCGAACCACAGTCGACTACATGGGAGTCCAGCAACATAGCCATTACGCTAACTGCTGGTCCCTCCTGTGTTTTCTTTTTTAATTCCTGTTTTGTTCAGTCCGGGAGTTTTGTCCCCTGTCCGACTCCACGGCACGGAGGATGGTGTGGAAATGGCTGGGCGAATTAGTGGTGTTCCTTTACAGATGGCCTATCTGGTGACAAAAGCAGCCCTCAGGCTGATGCTGCCCGCCAAGCCGCAGGCTCTGTCGTGGGAGAATATCCTCATCTCAGGTGGTCGTGGGAGAGACATCAGTGCCAGCTTGTTTGCCCAGTTCGCAGAGAGTTTTTATTTTTTTAAGAGAGATTTTTGCTATAGGGCACAGGTGCTTGCTGGAGAGATAGAGAGAGGTAGAGAGACAGAAAGAAGAAATCACCCTCTGGGACCAGCAGTTGGCGTAATGGCTATGTTGCTGGACTCCCACGTAGTCAACTGCGGTGCGCGTCCTGGACCCGGTGGCTTAAAACTCACGCCGGGTGCGTGTGCATGCGTGCCCAGGATCCCAAGAGGAGTACGGAGGAGAAGGGATTGTGGCGGGGTGATTTCTTGCTTTCTGTCTCTCTCTGTCTGTCTGGCAAGTGCACGCGCCCTATAGCAAAAACCTCTAAAAAAAAAAAAAGAAAAGAAAAAAAGAAAAGAAAAGAAATCAATCACCCCCTGAGAGGATGGCCATACCACAATCCCCTTTCCTCCATTCTCCTCTCAGGATTCTGGGCTCATAATGCACACACACCTGGTGTGATTTTCAAGTCACTGGGTCTGGGATTCAAACCGCCGTCACAGTCAGCCACGTGGGAGTCCAGTGCCTTACCCACCATGCTACTTGTTGGTCTCAGGTTACACATTTTAAAGGCACCAAAGGCAGAAATCTGGGTATAGATTGTGAAAGTCTTCTTGCCTCTTGCCTGCAACCTGACAAATGCCCATGTGACTTGACCTTTGTGTCTTCTGTGGCTCCAGTCACTCCTCCTCAACAATGGTCAGTTCTCTGGTTTGGGCCATCATTGTTTCTCACCTGCGTAATGGCACGGTGGAAACTGCCAACTGCCTGCCAGCCTCCCTTTCTCCATTTTCATTCCCAGTACATTATCCACAATAGTGTGGGATAAAATATAAGTTGCATATCTGCATAACAGTCTTTTACTTTGAGCTTTCAATGGCTCCCTATCACCTTCAAAATAAAGCAAAGCCTGCAGTCCCTCTCCGGCTCTCCATTCCCTGGCCTTGCACCCATACTCGCCTGGTTTTCCATCCTATCCAGCTCCAGGCATGTCCAGATCCGGTCATAGAGAACTCTTTCTTGTTGCCCAGATGACACGAGAGATTCTGTGTTTGTGACTTTGCCCACCTGCCCAATATTCTAGACTCCTTTTCCTAGCTAAATTCTTTTTCTTCAAAAATGAATTCAAAATGTCACCTTTCCTAAGAAATCTTCTATGATTCCCTGGTTAACAGTTCTTATAGAACTGAGGAAACATGAGGACTTCAAAAAGTTCGTGGAAAAACATCAAGTTTGTTTTGGTGCAAGAAAACTTTGAATCCTTGCAGTTTTTTCATAACATGCATTTCCTATGAATGCTTTCTCTCTTGCCTTTATTTTATTTTATTTTAAAAAATTATTTATTTCATTTTATTTAATATTATTATCCTCCCCCCCGCCCCATTTGACTGCAGAGAGACAGAGTGAGAGAGAAAGGAAAAGAGAGAAAGCAAGCCGCCAGTCCGGAATTCGAACTGTAGTCATCCATGCGGGAGGGAGTCCAGTGCCTTAACCACACCACCTACTGGCCCCTCTTGCTTTCATTTTAAATTTGCCGGAGGGTGTAGAGGTGAGGGAGAGGGAAAATATCCCCCCCTACAATCCTTTTCTTCATTTCTCCATGCTATAGGCATGTGTTCACATGTGCCCTATGTTTTTCAAGCCGTCAGTACTGAGCTTGAACCTGTGCTCAGCTGTGAGATCTAGCTCCCTTACACGAGGCTACAGGACCAGCCCTCTTTCTTTATTCACGATAGAGCACATGCATGCACACAGGAGAGAGAAGGAGAGAACATCTCCACAGGGTCTGATCTGGTCACAATCTCCTCCTTACAGTGCTCTGGCCCATCAGACCTTGGACACTTACGTGCCCAGCATGTTTCAGGCTGACGAGGCAGGGATGCAAACTGCATTTGCCATGGGGGATCCTGCTTCTCTTGAGCAGCATATCATCACCACATCATGGAGCCTGCCCTCCATGAACTTTTTTAAAGACCCCTCATATATCTATCAAAGCACTCACTGTGAGTTACAGGAAATAATAGCTACCATTTATTGAGTACTTGCTATGTTCCTCAGTTGTTTGATGTATTTTTATAGACATTAAAATCCACTTAATCCACATGTCGTAAAAGATATGACACAACTGATTGCAAGAAGCACCGTTATTTTATATTCCAATTAACCTGTCGATTATAAGATACATCCTTATTTGAGAGTTTTAAAAAAATGTGAAAGTGTCCTTGAATCACTGAAATATATTGGGTCGTTGGAAAAATCATGATGTATTTTTGCATAGAAAAACATTTAAAAATGTGTCATGACTTTTCTGACGACCCAATAGTAGTAGTAGTAGTATTCAAACAAGGAAACCAAGGCACAGCAAAGTTTAGTAATGAGCCAAGGTCACACAGCAAATATGGAAAGGAGCTGGGGGATCAGCAGTTGGTGTAATGGCTATGTTGCTGGACTCCCATGGTTTGAGTCCTGGACCCAGTGTCTTAAACTCATACCGAGCGCGTGTGCGTGCGTGCCCAAGATCCAGAGAGGAGAATGGAAGAGAAGAGATTGCGGTCTGGCCATACCCCCTGGGGGGTGATTTCTCGCTTTCTGTCTCTCTGTCTCTCTCTGTCTTTCTGGCAAGGGCTCGCTCCCTATAGCAAAAACCTCTCTTTAAAGAAGAGAAAAGAAAAGGGGCTAGGATTCATTCCCAGAGTCTGAATCTAGAGCTCGTGCTCGTAACCATTTCACAATACTTGCTTCCAGCTACTTCCAGAGAACCTCAAGGGTTGCAGCAGAATTTTGTTTATTTTGGCATCTCTAGCTCTTGAGCAGAAAGAGGGCATTCAGGAAATGTTTGTTGAAGGCCGGCCATGTAGTCTAATGGTTAAGGGAGCCAAATCCCACATTTCTGACCACGGTTCAAGCCTCACCCCCAGCAACTTGGAAAACACGCTGGGTATGTATAAGTGCATGCCCCATATTTGGACAGAATGGAGAAATGGAGAAAGGATTGTACATGACCATGTTCCATTGGGAGTGCTTTCTCTCTCTCTCTCTCTCTCTCTCTCTCTCTCTCTCTCGTCAGCACATGTGCCCTCTGGCAATTTAAAGATAAAGAAACGTTTCCTGAATGAAAGAATTTGAATCTGCAATAATCTTTCTCCACTCAATCTTTTTTCACTGGATGAAAAATGAGACTTTTAAATAATTTGACTTAAAAAAGAACTAGATAAGACTAAATTAATCAACTTCCAGCTTGAGCTCATATATCATATGTAGACAAGTCAAAATTACTACAGCCACAATTTAAATAATTAACCATAATACGTCAGAAGATAACATATCTCTGTTTGAAGTATGCTTTCCCACTCAATAACTCATCTTTTATCAAGAACAAGAAAAAGTGTCTCGCAAAGCTGCTACGTTAAAAATATCTTCATGCTTATAGAAGTTATGATTATTATCTTAAGTCTTATTTATTAAGTTGCTAATTTTGAAGAGGAATGTCAATTTGCTCTAGTAGAATGATAATACTCCTCTAGAGGTATAAAGGCTAAAATTTAAAAGCCAATTGAATCTGACACTAGGCTGACATAAGTAAAGAGAATCAAATCCTCTGTCTTTAGAAATATGCCTTTACATTTTTAATACCCAAACAATAATAGTAATGTCAAAAGTAACAGAACCTCGCTGAGCTCAGGAGAAATCAGGAATGCAGGGGAGGAATATGAGTAAGGACAATGCTACTGAAAATAAGACATCAAATTTCCTTCAAGTGGGTATAATGAAGAGAGTGGGAGAAAAAGAGTTGGGAAATTCTGTCCATTTGATCAAGGAACTAAATGAATTACATTCTCCAATGTCTTCTGGGTGTTCTCTGCAAACATCAGATTCATTTCCATTCCAAATCTAGTTCACTCATTTCCTCCTTAACAGACCTGCGCTACGCTTTTGAGTCCTCCCCGAGATACAAGGCTTAACTGAGTGCCCCCAACTACTATTGCTTTCAGCAATCTAGTTCACTGGGTCCACATGGAACAGAGCGTCAGCACTTCACAATTTAGCATACCATTTTTACTTCTAATTGCCTCTTGAGTGTTTATCTATTTTTTCAACTAGGTAGTAAGATCTTGCAGAACAGGAACACACCTTACAGCACTTAAACTTAACACAATGCCTGGCATGGATAGATGCTCAACAAACATATTTTTTAAAGAATTGTTGATTTAATTTTTGCTGTTGTTGTTGCTGTTACTTTTTAATTTGACCAGAGAGAGGTAGAGAGTGAGAGAAAGGTAAAGTAAGAAAGCAAGCCACCAGATCCGGGACTTGAACCATGGCCCCCCATGTGGGAGTCCAATACCTTAATCACCATGCCACCTGTTAGCTCCAATGCTCAACAAATTTATTATTTTTTAATTTCACCAGAGAGAGACAGAGAGAGAAAATGAAAAAGCAAGCCACCAGGCCCAGGATTTGAACCGTGGTCAGCCATATGGGAATCCAGCACTGTAACTACCTGCTGGCCCCCATGCCAACTTTTATATCCTGCATTTATCTTTTTCTGGTATATTACAGTAATAATGGCTGAGATTTACTAGAGAAATAAAATGACTAGAGAAGACCTAAAAGGGGGGAGGATGGCAGACAGTGGTAACACAGTACTCTATAAGACTGACCTATGTGGGAAGGTTCCAAGTTCAGATCTGAAGACCTCTGTCCAGGGTGGACAAGCATGTGCACCCTATTGCAAGCAATCCCCCCCCTCAGATGAAAGAAATAAACTTAAGGGGGCAAGCAGGTGGCGTGGTGGATAAGCACTAGACTCCCGCATGCCTGATTAGTCCTTGCTTGCTCGCTCTCTCTCTGTCTCTGGTCAAATTAAAGAATAATAAAAATCAATTAAATTTTAAAAAATAAAGTCTTTTTAAAAAGGAGGAAGGAATAAGAAAAATAATGACCCCCAAAGATATCTATGTCCCAACCCCTGGAATCTGTGACTGTTACCTTACATGGCAAAAGAGACTTTTCAGACACAATTATAGTAATGATCCTGAAATGGGGAGGGTTTACTGGATTATCTGGGAATCCCAGTGTCATCACAAGAGTCCTTAAATATGGAAGAGCGAGACAGAAGAGGATGTCAGAGTAAGACAGCATGAGGACTCAAGCAGTGATTGCGGGCTGAAGAAAGGTGGGTAACAGTCAAGGAATGCAGGCAGATTCTAGAAGCAGAAAAGAGGCAAGAAAACATACATTCTGCTAGCACCTCCAGAAAGGAATATACCCTCATCTTAGCCTAGTGAGGACCACCCTTATCCCCACTCTGGCCTATAAAACTGGAAAGGTTTTTTTTTAAAGAACTTTTTATTTCATGGGACCAGCAGATGGCAATGCTACATAGCTGGACTCCCATGTAGTTGACCATGGTCTGAGTCCCGGGCCTGATGGCTTAAACTCATGCCGGGTGTGTGTGCATGCCCAAGTTCCTGAGAGGAAAATGGAAGAGAAGGGATTGTGGCATGGCCAGCCCCCCTTGGGGGTGATTTCTTGCTCTCTGTCTGTCTATCTGGAGAGCACACGTGCCCCATAGCAAAAAGCCTCCCCAGAAAAAAAAAAAAAAAAAAAAAAAAGAAAAAGAAAGAATTACTGATTTCATTACTATTTTTTTTTTTTAAATTTGCTATAGGGCTCATATAATCACCAGAGGGAGATAAAGAGAGAGAAAGAGAGTGAGAAAGTAAGTCTCCAGGTCTGGGACTTGAACCATGGTCAGTCATGTGGGAGTCTAGCACCTTAACCATCATGCCACCTGATAGACTCAAACTGTTAAAGTATTAAATATGTTGTATTACATCACTAAACTTGTGGTGACCTGTGACAGCAGAACTAGAAAACTAATGCCTGGGACATTTTATATTAATGACTTAATGGCATTTTCAAAATGTGTCCTCTATTTCAAAGGATTTGTGATTCATAAGCAAACACACAGCTTTAAATAAAATCAAACTACAATAAAACTTTTATAATTTTTTTTTTTGAGAGAGAGATTTTTGCTGTAGGTCCCATGTGCTCACTGGAGAGACAGAGAGAGAAAGCCAGGAATTACCCCCCAGGCAGGATGACCATGTTACAATCCCTTCTCCTCCATTCTTCTCTTGGGATTGTGGGCATGCCTGCACATGTGCAGAATGAGTTTTTTTGTTTGTTTTGTTTTTGCTATAGGGCACATACGCTTGCCAGAAAGACAGAGAGAGACAGAGAGATAGAAAGCGAGAAATCACCCCCCAGGGGAGATGGCCATGCTGCAATTCCTTCTCCTCCCATTCTCCTCTTGGGATCTTGGGCACGCATGCACACGCGCCTGGCATGAGTTTAAGCCACTGGGTCCGGGACTCGAACTGCGGTCGGCTACATGGGAGTTCAGCGACATAGCCATTATGCTAACTGCTGGTCATCATCGTGCAGAATGAGTTTTAAGCCACTAGCACTGGGACTTAAACCATGGTTAACCATTTGGTAGTCCAGCGCCTTAACCACTACACCACCAGCTGGTCCCATAAGGTACTTTTTATAGCTATTTTTCATTTACGTGATGTAATTTTACAGTAATAGTTCCTTTATCCTAAATTGCTAAATTTGTATAAATTGTTGCTAAATTTGTCTTTTCTTTATTTAGGTTTTTGCCATAGGACAGGTGCACTCATGGGAGAGGAGAGAGACAGAGAGGGACAGTGATAGGGAAAGTGAGAAATCTCCCCCGAGTGGATGGCCACACTACAATCCATTTTCTTCTATTCTCCTCCTGGGATCTTAGGAACCCAGTGTGATTTTTCAAGCCGCCAGGTCCAGAACTCAAACCTCAGTCAGCCATATGGGAGTCCATCACCTTAACCACTATACCACTTGCTGGCCCCTTCTTTATTGTTTTTACTACTTTTAAGTATTCCCCAAATTTGGACCAGCAGGTGATAGAGCAGCTAAGGTGCTGGACTCCCATATGGCCAACCACATGTCACCTCCTGGCTAAAGGCAGTTATCACCCGGGACTGTGGGCAGAGCTTCCGTAACTCTGTCCTGTGGCCCTTGGGTGACCCCTTCAATGGCTTTTCCAAATCCTGGACCTGCCGTCTTAGAAGTAAGCTCAGAAGAAATACTATACCTGTGTAAGAATACTTACTTTTTGAACCCAAACGATGAATTTCCTCCACTAAAAGGTTGACTTCGTGATCCACATTCATTGCTGCCTGAGAGAGGAAAAGCAAGTCTATATTATTACCATGACTACATCCCGTTAAGCACATATCCAAATCCAAGGGCCTTTTATTTTGTTGTTGTTGATTTTATTCATGAGAGAATATGCGCGTGTGCAAGAAGGAGAAGCACCCTCAACAGGGTCTGATCATATCACCATCCCCTTCCCCAGGCCCTCCAGTTCCACAGGATTTTGAGCTCCTGGAATTGTTTTCATGATGAGCCTGGGACCTGAACCCACAATTGCCACATGGCTTCCAACATTGTTTAGTACTGACTACACCACCATGCTGGGTCCCCTTTCTTTATTTCACATAGCATTTGTCACTGTTAATTGATTGTAGCCCTCTTCCTACAAATGCTGTGTAATAGGTATGTGTATATCCCTGAAGTAGCTCCATTTCCCTCTCCCTTTCTAACTGCATGCTAGCTGTCCCCACTCACATGCTCTACTGCTGTCTTTTTTCTTTTCTGTTCTGTTTTTTTTATTCTGAAGAGAGGTTTTTCGTTATAGGGTACAGAGAGACAGAAAGCGAGAAATCACTCCCCACGGGAGTGGCCACACCACAATCCCTTCTCCCTTCTTTCAGGATCTTGGGCAGGCACGCACACATGCCAGGTGTGACTGTAAGCCGCCAGGTTCGGGACTCAAACTGGTCAACTATACGGGAGCCCAGAGACATATCCATTATGCCATCTGCATCCCCAGCCATCCTCCTTCTATTCACTACCAGCTCTAAGCAAGGCCTGTTCATGATGACCTGCTAGCTCTTCCCCAAAAACACTCCAAAAATACAAAAGGTGAGCTCCCTCAATGAGCTCAGCTTCCAATGGTAGGGAAATTGCCTAGAATGACTGGCAATGTGACAGGACTCTTTGAATGGAGGGTCCAAGGCATTATGGGAGGACAAAAGAGGAAATCTCAGGAAGCTTTTTGAAGTCACTAGGGAGGAGTAGGCCATCCCCCTGAGGAGTGATTTCTCACTTTCCCTCTCTGTCTCTCTCATGTGAGTACATATGGCCCATGGCAGAAATCTAAATAAATAAACTTTAAAATGTTTTAAAATAAATATTAGTTTCAGGAACTGAAAAAGGACAAGTAAAAGCATAAGAGGGAATAGAACTATACCTGCAACAGGGGGAGGCTCAGAAAGTATGAGCACCCCAAAATATGCATCAAACTGATCTGTTCTCAAGTCCTAAGTTCTCCAAATCAAATCAAAGACTAAAAAAGTGAGGCTGCATGTATGGTTTCTCTGGAGTGACAAGTTGGCAAGACGATTACATCCAGATGGGCTGTGACTAATTCCTAGTAGTTTTTAAAAACAAGAATGACATCCATGAATATATACCACCTGTTTAAATGATATTGATTGGGACACCAGATTTTCTATCAGCCAATAATTAAAAGCACCACTACCATCTGCTATGTTATTTGTGTGACTATTATAATTTAAAGAGCTTGTATTGCAATAAGATAGAAAATCTTCAATTAAATGTCCCTACCTAAAACCCAGTATCAAGAATTACTGTGTCAACTACTAGCAACTTCATACTGGTGAAATCACATCCGTAACATTATATTCAAGTCAACGCATAGTTTAAGAAAGATAATAAGAAGCTAAAATCTACCCAGAGGACACAGCCACTATGCAAGGGGACTAAATACCAGACCATAATTATGGTAGGGAAAGACCTGATCATGTCGTGAGGGAAAGACCTGCTAATGTCAGTGTGGTGGACAGCTGCTGTTTTTGCCTGCTCAGCACCTGTTCCCCACTGAGGCACCAGCAGCCTAATTTTTATTTGGGTAGAGCCTTTCTTGCTTTACTTGAAACCCACACATCCTGAATAGAGCCTCACCAGGAGCTCTGAAAGTAGTTCAGGGCCAGAACAATGGGTATGAGGCATAAGGTAAGTGATCTCATTCAGACAGGGAATAGAACTACACCTGGAGGGGGGGTCAGAAAGAACTGTTAGTAAACAGCGACCTCCACTGGAGTCTGAGATGGAAATGTACAGCATCTGATGCAAATGGCCAAGAGGCAGGTAGAGGTCACCAGGAATAAGCTAACACAAAGAAAAGTCTGGCCACATAATAAGGACTGAGCCCATGTACCACCCTAGGCTTTCCATTCATACAAATCAAGAATATCTTTCCTGTTTTTCTTTGTGTTGGTTTGATCAAGTTTCTGTTACTTCCACATGGCAGTGTGGTGGTTAAGGCAGATAGATTTCTCATGATTGACTGCATGGTTTGAGTCCCAGACCCAGAGGCTTGAAAAATACACACCAGGTACATGGCATGCTTGCCCAAAATCCCGAAAAGAGGAATGAAGGAAAAGGGATTGTGGCGTGGCCATTCTCCACCGCAGTATGTGTGTGGGTGCTTGCTCACTTTCCTTCTCTCTCTCTCTGTCTCTCTCCTGTGAGTGCACACATTGTCTTGCAAAAAATTTAAAAAAAAAAAAAAAAGGAAGAAGAAGAAGAATCTTGACCCATAAAGTCAACCGAGAGAAAATCTGCCATTTTGGGACAACAAAGATGGCGGCAGGAACCAGCAATTGGTGGGAAGATCTCAGGAAATAGGCTTGACAGTTGGAAAATGAACTTGACCTGAAATTAGTTTCCTTTAGTAAACTATGTACAAGTTATCGTGACAGCAGTGCCTGAGATGGAAGATGTAACAGATATAGATAGTTCTGACACAACACCCCTTTGGAATGGATAGAGCCAAGACAGACCGTTTGAGACGATGGCAATTGAGATTGAACAGCTGTTGGCAAGGCTTACAGGGGTAAATGATAAAATGGCAGAATATACCAACAGTGCAGGTGTCCCCTCCTTGAATGCAGCTCTAATGCATACGTTACAGTGACAGAGGGACCTATCGCATGATTATACACACGAATTTCATAAAACCAAAGCAAACTTTATGGCAATATGGGAAAGAGAGAATCTCATGGGATCAGTAGGAAACGATATTGAGTCTTATAAAACTGGGCCTGAAGTAAACAACAGAACTGAACTGTTTTTGAAAGAACATGATCACCTTCCAAAAGAGAGGAGTACCTCAGCAGTCTTCTTGTGCAGTCCATTGCCAGTCTCAGCTGGCCCAGATCATGGACATGTATGTGCATGTACCTACCTTGCTCAGTGAGTTCCTGGGTGATGAACCCGGGACCTTTGCCATGTAGGTCCAGTTGTATTACCACCTCACCATTGCCAGTACCTGCCATTTTATCTTGACTAAGATACATTAACTGTATTTCTTTCTTTAATTGGTAGCACAGTATAATGGAAAGAACATGAGATTTGAAGCTAGAAACACCTGGGTTCAAACACCTGGGTTCAAATCCTTGCATGGACTACATATTTTGGGGCAAGGCCCTTAAAACCCTCTGACTCTCCACTGTCTTTTAAATGGGGAAATTAATCCTTAGTTTGTAGAACGTTGTAAAGATTAGAGATGATATATGTAAAATGTTCAGTACAGAGCCTGACATATAGACCATTTTCAAATAACATCGAGCCATTTCTTGTCCATAGCAACATGAGAATAGAAAAATATACTAGTGCATTAGAATTGTGTACTTAGAGCTCAGTGACAGAGATTCCAGCTCTGTAGGGCCCTTGATTGACAAATTGGCATATAAAAATAGATTGTCACCTGACCCTGATTGTTTCTTAAATAAACTCAGAGTGTTTTTTTTTTTTTATTTAAAATTTTAAATTAAAAAAAAAAAGAAAAGAAAACCTGTCATTTATAAAAACCTGAAGTTCTTTTTTTGGAGAAATTTTTGCTATAGGGCACATGTGCTTGCTGGAGAGACAGAAAGCAAGAAATCACTCCCTGGAGGGACGGCCACATCTCAATTCCTTCTCCTGCTTTCTCCTCTCAGGACTTCGGGCATGCATGCACATGTGCCCGGTGTGAGTTTCAAGCCACTAGGTCCAGTACTCAAATCAAGGTGGCCCATGTAAGAGTCCAGCAACGTAACCACCACACGCCATCTGCTGGTTCCTGCAGTCCCTTTTATGTATATTTGTGAATAGTCTCATTCTTGGCTCTTTACTGGGTAGGATAGATAGATGTAATAACAGAAAGGCAGATTTGGGAGCCATATTTAAAGGTGTAACTATCAAAACCGCCTAGCAATGAATAACGTGTATGCCATGTTCCCTGAAAGCATTAATTTACTGCAAAAGTAGTAAAGATCTACGAGGGATGATGAAGAAATTAGCCTGCACTGGACAGAGGGAAGAATGGCATGCCCAGCGTGATTAAGGACATCTCTGATTCTCAGATTCTGATTCTCCACCCTGAAATTTCCTCTTTTACACCATTCACCACTGCCAACCACACACTTCAGACTTAGCTCTCATTTGCTGAAGAGAATCAAAGGGGAATCCCTCTATTAGCTATAGTGAGCTTATCTGTATTATATTAAGCAGATGAACCTGCATCCAATTTTAAGATGGGAAGGCAATAATCATTTCTTTATAATTAATTACACATCAGGTTCTTTATGTTAATTTATGTAACTCTAAGACTCTGGCAATTATTTATCCCTATTTTGTAGATAATAAAATAGGCTCAAATAGGTTAACTCCCTACAAGCAAATGCTGTTTCTATCACATCCTTCTAGCTCTTTCTTCTGCTTCCCCCTCTTTCTTCTTTTGCTGTTATGCAAATGCACTAAATATAATGGTGAGCGGCAGTTGTAGGAAATATTACATGCTGAGTACTTACTAAGGCAGAGAACACTTACAAAGCAAGGTCCCCTGCCCAGACCTCCATAAATAAGAAAATAACAGGCTTAGAAACTATTGCTAGCATACATAATACAGCATGTTTTATTTATGTATTTGGGGAAGAGAGGAGCAAAAGGGAAAAGCAGTCATTGTTACACACAGTCCCTGAAAGGCGGGTAACACTTCATGAGGAGGGCAGAAGCCTGGGACTAGAGTGAGTGAAAGGGTGAACAATGA